CACAAGTGCAGTGACAGGTCACCGTCAGAGAATCTGTGTTAATGTGGTGTTTTTATTCAGATCCCAGTCACCTGCTCATTCCTCCGGATCCACTCACCAACTTCCAGCTTCCTGTCCTCTTTAAAGAACCCTGTATCCAGTCTGTGCTGGATGTGGAGCCATCCAGAGACCACATCCTTATGAAATCTGACTCTCCCTCCCCCAGAAGCCATCAGCTTGTCAGTACCTCCTTAGCTAGGAATGGGCCTCGTGAACCCTTCCCCTCCCCAGGCTTGTAGGCGGATTTTTCGTGAGACCATTGACACTCCAACAATGACATGGAGATTTACTATTAATTATGAAAGCTCGGCTGATAGCTTAGGTTTATTTCTAACTAGTTCTTATAACTTAAATTAACCCATTTCTATTCATTTACTTCCTGCCTGTGGCTTTATTACCTCATCTCTGTATTGTCCGTCCTGTTGGCTCAGTGTCTCCTGGCGTCTCTGTCTTTCTTCCCAGCATCCACTGTGCCTGGAAATCCTGTCTAGCTATTGGCCATTCAGCTTTTTATTAAACTAATCAGAGTGACACATCTTCACAGTGTACAAAAAGATGATCCCACAACACATGCTAGAATATTGACTGGCTTGATCTTGTACCAACAACCAGAGCTCCTGTGAACTCACGAGTGTTAGTCCTGTCGTGTCAAGGAGACACTATTTCATTTCAAGGAACTTTTTTGCAGATTGATCGATTTTTATTTTATGTATGGCAGTGTTTGTATATATGCCTGTATGTATGTATATGCACCACATGTGTGCTTAGTGCCCTCAGAAGTCTGAAGAAGGCAAGGGCATTGGATACCCTGGAACCAGGGTTACTGATGACTATGAACTTGTATGTCAGTGCTGGGAACTAAACAGGCCTTCTGTAAGAGCAACAAGGACTCTTAACTGCTGAGCCATCTCCAGCTCCAGAGGAACTTTTTGTAGTAGTACATTTCTTTTGGAGTATAACAAAAGTAAAATTGATAATTCTAGATTATATCAAAAGCAAGGATACAGCCAACAGATTAGAAAGGCATCCATGAAATGTCATGGAATTTTAACTTGTAGATTTTATAAAGGATTAAAACATAGACTATATAAAGATCTCCTCCTACATTTCATTAACAAAAAAAATGATTTAAAAACAGGCAAAAGACACAAATACAAACTTCTCCAAAGTGAATATGAAATGGCCAGTAGGCAGATTTAAAAAATGCTCAGCCATCTAATTAGGAAGATACAAATGAAAGCCATGTTGCTCTTCATATCAGGATGCTTAAAGAGAGAGAGAGAGAGAAAGAGAGAGAGTTATAAAAACAGAAAATAACAGCTACTGGCATGGATACAAGGAATGTAACTGTAGTACATTGCCAATAGATAAATTGATGTGTCTACTATGGAAACACAATGTGACAATTTCTAAAAGTGGTAGACATTAGCAGGAACTTCGATATATTTGTAGCATCATAATCCACATTAGTTAAAAAGTAGAGGCAGTTCCAGAGTTTATCTACACATGAATGGTTGAATAAAATGTGATATGAACTGGGCATAATGGCACATGCCTATAAATCCAGCACTTGCTAAGCTTAGGCAGCGATTGTCAAATGTGATACCAGAATAGGGGGTACATAGCAAGAGCCTTTGTCAAGAAAATGTATATATACATACAGTAGGATGTCACTCAGCATCAGAAAGGAAGGGAATTCTGAGGCGTGCTACCATAGCAGTGAACCTTGGAAAATACACTGGTCACAAATGCCTTTTCTATAAGCTACCTAGAATACTAGAAATCATAATAGTAATTACCAAGAGCTGTATGAGTGAGTTTGGATGTACTGCCACAAATATACTTAATTTACTGAGCCACATACTTTAAAAGTAGTTAAGATTGTAAATTTCATGCTACATACATGTTAACCACAATTTTTAATTTTTTTTTTTTTTTTGGTTTTTCGAGACAGGGTTTCTCTGTGTAGCTTTGCGCCTTTCCTGGAGCTCACTTGGTAGCCCAGGCTGGCCTCGAACTCACAGAGATCCGCCTGGCTCTGCCTCCCGAGTGCTGGGATTAAAGGCGTGCGCCACCACCGCCCGGCAATTTTTAATTTTTAAAAAATCTGAAATGCGGTGGTGGTGCACACTTTTAATCCCAGCACTTGGGAGACAGAGGCAGGCGGATCTCTGTGAGTTCGAGGCCAGCCTGGTCTACAGAGTGAGTTTCAGGACAGAGCTAGAGCCATTACACAGAGAAACACTGTCTTGAAAAACCAAATATATATGTGTGTATGTATATGTATGTATATTATTATATATAATAATATAGTATATATAATATATATGCATAAGACTAAGGAGATATTTCAGGAGCATGGCGCATGTATAATAAGTGTTAATGCACATAGGTAAAAAGACTGGAACAAGCCATACCTTTGTAACACAAATTAAAACAAATTTCTAAGTGGTTACATTAATGCCAGTAAATTTCAGAGCACAGCTGTCACTGGGGATTGAAGTTGGTTTTTTGTTTGTTTGTTTGTTTGGGTTTTGTTTGTTTGTTGTTGTTGTTGTTGTTTGTGTAACAGCCCTAGCTGTCATGGAACTAGCTCTGTAGACCAAGCTGGCTTCGAACTCACAGAGATCCACCTGTCTCTGTCTTCCAAGTGCTGGGATTAAAGGCCTATACCACCACCACCACCACCACCACCACCACCACCACCCAGCTTGAAGTTATTCTTTTTTGTTTTGTTTCTGTTTTTCGAGACAGGGTTTTTCTGTGTAGCTTTGGAGCCTGTCCTGGAACTTGATCTGTAGATCAGGCTGGCCTTGAATTTACAGAGATCCATCTGCCTCTGCCTCCCGAGTGCTGAGATTAAAGGCGTGCGCCGCCGCCGCTGCCGCTGCCGCCACCACCGCCTGACTTGAAGTTTTTTTTTTTTTTTTTTTTTTCCTGTGGAGCTGAGGACCGAACCTAGGGCCTTGTGCTTGCTACGCAAGTGCTCTACCGCTGAGCTAAATCCCCAACCCCGAAATTATTCTTAATAAAGCAGTCACTTAAACAAGAAGACATCAGTCTTGAATGCTTAGTAACAAAGCTTTAAAAACAGGAGGTGAGAACTGCTGGCCTGCCTTCTCAGTCACTGAAGGATAGACAGCCAGAAAGCAGCTAGTGTAGAAAAGACTTACATGGCCAGCTGATTTAGCCTGGTTAACATTTGTAGAGAACTCCATTCAACAAAACAGACTATACATTCTATTGAAGTACATACTAAGCATAGAACAACGGAGGCAAGTTTACACAAAATATAATTTGTCCACTGACCACTTGAAATTAAATAAATCAATAGCAGAAAAATCTCAGGAACCCCCAAATATGTAAAAATTAACCCATGGTCTTAGGAAAATCAAAAGAGAAAATGTAAATCATTTGAACTGAATGAAACGCAAAACAGTCCATCAAAATTAGAATGATACCTCTAACACAGTGCATGAAAATAAACTGAGCTCTAGCCACAGGGTTTTAACATGTTTTTAAATGACTATCACATGTACCCCTTAAATGTATGTACTTTAAGTCCATTATATCACTATAAGGCTGGTTGTTTGTTTGTTTTCAAGTATTGTAGATGGGACTCAGGCTGAAAGAGACTTGAGAAACATAACAACTAAATAATATTTAGACTTTACATGTTGATTCATACAAGCCAGCTACCAAAAGACATTCAGGGGCCTCCAGATGATGGTTCAGCAATTAAGAGCATTTACTAAGTAGAACAGTACCATCAATCAAAAGCCCCTGTCAGAGATGGCAAATGAAGACTGGATGAAGTGACAAGTCAGAAGCCTTACAATACAGGGGGATTGCTAGATGAGATTACAAGCAAAATATTGATAGTTAAAGCTGGGTGATAGATACACAGGTGTTCAATAACTTATTTTGTTTTGGTTTTTAATTTTCCCATAATGCTCTCCTGTTTTTATTTCCTTTTAAAGGCCTTACAGCCTTACAGTGTGAGGCGGTCTCCCTTGGTTTTTCCCCTCCCCATTCCTTCGGCTTTTTTATCTGCCACTGCTCAGTTTAAAATCGAATTGTATTTAGAGTGCTGTCTAAGACAATCTCAGTTTCTGTCTATATCCCGTTGTGAACTCAGACTCACAAAGCATTCTGAGTCTTCTGTCCAGAATCCCATGCTGTCCCTGGCTCCTTACTAGGCCCTCCTTGCTTAGTTTCCCAAGTCTTAGCTCTGGCTTCACTCCTCAAAGCCTTCCCTGGCATTCTTCCCTATTCCATCCCCCATCACCACATGCAATGTAGTTTTTGGTCATTTCCTAAATTCAGGTGGCTCCTTAAGGCTGCAGGTTCACCATCAGGTCATCTTTGGGTTGTTGGTTTCCAGCACTGCTGTTTGTGACTGGCAATGTTGGATAAGTACAATTTTAGAAATTACCTGAGTTAAACTTAGACAAGCAAACCCCTGAGATCACAGAGAATCGTGTGAGCTGAACCCGGAGTAGACTTGTTGCTATGTCTGTTCTCAGTGCTGTAATGAGAACTTAGTGGACACTTCGAGGTTCTTTTTGCTAAGTTCATATCCCTAACAGTGCTTATTCATAGAGCACACTGGGAAAGCTCTCGGGGCAAGAGTGGGACTCTAGAGGACATAGCAGCACTGATAGCATGGCATCACACAGTACACAGAAACAGAAGTGACTGGGACACATAGTTTTCTCACCAAACACACTTTGGATTGAACTAGAATGAAGAATCTGTGGTATAACTGCCAGGTTTTCCACTTGTATTACTTTTCCAGAATCCACTTACATAATATGACAGAAGTGGTCTAGGATTATAGAGACATGATATCTTTAATTATTTAAAATATAGATCATGTGCTGACTTCAGCATCACATACTAAAATGAGGACCATTTTTCAGAAATCTTCCATTTAATGTCTTTATTTTTTGTTTTCTTAGCGTCGTCTTGGAGATGCAGCCAAGAAAGCCATCAGTAAATTGACAACTAGAACGGTGAAAAAAGGCGATAAGGTACAGTAATGAATTACTTTCCTCTTTGAAGGCTGCTTGCTCATGCTTTGTCTGTCTGGAAATCCTGCAGCTAGTCTCCAGCTTTCCTGCACGTCGGGTGCTCTCAGCATCAGTAGCATCAATGACTCCTCACAGTTAACATGACTGTTCCTTTCTAGTTTTCTACGGTTAAAGCCGAGCACACGTCTTCCAGGAGTTCTAATGAGACAATTTGCACATAAAATAGCCAAGAGAAGTACATTTTCTTCTATTTCTTAGGACTGCCACGTCTGTTTGGGGTTTTGTTTCTTCTCAGTTAGGACCTACCTGAAGACCTTCCTTTCTAGTTTGTCAGCATTGGGCCCAAAGGGGGCCAAGTCAAAGAGACAACAACAAATGGCAGAGTTGAAACCTTTCATCAAAATCCCTACGTAGAGCTCAAGTGCCAGTAGCATCTTTTTGTAGCCAGTTTCTACATCAGTATATTCAAACTTAACCAGAATTTTAAAAATAAAGAAAAGAAATCTCAAAAGGTAAAAACCAAGACTATCTGGCACCCCACACCTAGTGCTAATATTTTAGCAGAGAGCTCTGGAAGGAGGATTTTATGTGCTCTCTATTTTCTGTGTTTTGCCACATTTTTTTCTTTCACCATTTTTATTCCTCTGCCTGTGAATACTGGGGTGAGTTGTCCTCAGCACAGCTGCAAAAGTAGAGACATTCTCACTGGGTGTCACTGCGCACACACTGAGGAAAGAAAGGGCACGTGCAGGAAATAGAGGCTACATCAAGACAGCTACACTCAACCCTAAACCAGTTCCTGGAACAAATGCTTTCTTGGCTTGGCCAGCTGCTATTAATTAGAAAATCCTTGGATTTCATATAATCTACCTATGGTCCTCTACCCCTCCCCAGTACTAAATAATCTTTCCTTAAATGATGAAAGCTAGCACACTTTTTATAACCCCTGCACCTGCCAACCTAAGCCAACCTAATGGCTTAGGCTATTGGCATACTTTGCTTTAGACAACTCTAGGGAACCCTCCTCAGCTCAGAGGATGAAGGAAGTCAATTAACCTGAAGACCAAACAACTGGTTGGTCTTTCTGATTCTTCATAAATACTCAATATTGAGTTAACCCAGTAACTGCCCTGAGTCTGTGAGTTAGGACTAGAAGAGAGGAGTCTACTTATCACTCCCCATTATTTGTAGCTGTGTTTTAGGAACTGATTGGCTGCATGAGCCTCTTGCTGAGGCTCTCAGTATTTTAGATTTTAACAGTGAAGCCTATTGAGACTAGGTGGTAATAAAGGAATTGGGGTAGACACATGATAATCCAAGGTGATCTGCTGTGAATTGTTGAAAACATAGAGCTCTGACTTATTCTAAGATATCATAAATAGAATTAGTATGGATTGTATGATTGTCTCGTGTAATTTGGGTCAACATACTTAAGCAAATGAAAAGTTACTGTTTTTCATTCCTTTCCCTCTGTGGCCATCTGCTTGCCGTAATTGTCTTAGCTGAGTTGTAGCTCTTGTGTGCAAACGCTCAGCTCTGTGCTTCTTGTTTCAGGAGACAGACCCAGACTTCGATCACTGTGCAGTCTGCATAGAGAGCTATAAGCAGAATGATGTTGTTCGGGTTCTCCCCTGCAAGTACGTCAGAGTTCTTTGTTTGAAAGGAGTGGTATTAATGTCTTGTGTGTCTCCCTTCCAGAGTGAGTATCTGCTTGCTCCTGTAAGCCACCTGACCAGTAGCTCTCCTGACAGGCTGAGGCCCAAATACTGGCAGTGGGAGGCATGGTTGACTCTGGCCAGTGTCTCTCCCAAGAATCGTTTGCATATGTGTATAAGAAACACGTGACAGGTGCCCGCCTTTAATCCCAGCACTTGGGAGGCAGAAGCAGGTGGATCTCTCAGTTTGAAGCCAGCCTGGTCTACAAAGCAAGTTCCAGGACAGCCAGGGATATAGAGAGAAACCCTATTTAGAAAGAAAAAGAAACAAACAGGCTGGAGAGATGGCTCAGTGGTTAAGAGCACTAGCTGCTCTTGCAGAGGTCCTGAGTTCAATTCCCAGCAACCACATGATGGCTCACAACCATCTATAGTGAGATCTGGTGCCCTCTTCTGGCATGCAGGCATGCATGCAGGCAGAATACTGTATACATAATAAATAAACCTTAAGAAAAGAAACAAACAAACAAACAGATGACAACACCTAAATCATAACCTAAGAATTTATATTCAGTGACCCTCCTGGGCTAAGCTGTTAGCTCAGCGGTAGAGCACTTGCCTAGCATGTACCAAGTTGTGTGTTTGATCCCTAGTACAGACAAAAAAGAAAACACAAAACACTTTTTGTTTCATTCCATCTCCAGTTAGAGTTCATTACCAAGCCCTCCTATGAGCCCTCCACCTGATCTACCTGGCTCTGGATTCCACTGTGGTAAGGACCTGAGTTAGGCACAATGGGAGGACTGTTTGCTTTGTAGCTGCTCCGAGACAGTACACTGCTCTGTGCAGGTTACATACTGTTTCTCTGGTCCTCCCAACAATCCAAAGAGGGTGCCTCTCTTATTATACTGGTTTGTCTTCCATTCTGTGGCAGGCAAAGGGTCTGACACAGCTGCTGGAGAAAGGGGTTGGTTTACAGAGTCTTAGAAGTTCTCTGTGCAGATCCAGTGGGCCCTGTGGGTTAGCCTCTGGTGAGCACGGTAGAGGGCAGCATACGTAGTGGGAGTCCGTGCAGAAGCAAGAGGGCAGGCCAGCCCCACGTACTGCTTTTGTAACAGCCTCACAAGCACCACCAGAAGAGTCCCAGAGGAAATACTTCTCACCGCCAGTAGCTTAGGACCTCCACTAGGTCCCATTCCCCAGAAGTTCTGCCCCCACCAATTGTACCCTCCTGATGACCAAAGTTTTCACCACAGTGGACTCTGGGAGGGACACTCAGACTACACCCAAACCGTAGCACCATTGTCCAGTGAAAGATAGTAAAGCCAGCAATGGATTCCAGGTTTGAAAATATGGCAGCTCCAGTAAAGGGGTCTGACTTCACCAGTCATCATTCTTTACATAAGCTCTCTAGCTAGCATCCTCCCTCTCTGTCTCTTTCTCCCTCTCTGTCCTTGCCTCTCTTCTGAGGTATATCTCCGGCATTCTTTTTACTATGAGACAGGATCTCATTAAGTTTCCCAGACTGACTGTGAACTCATTCTGTAGCCCAGACTGACCTTCAACTTGACAATATCATGTTTCAACTCCCCAGGTAGCTGAGATTACAGGCCTGCACTACCAGGCTGGGCTATGCAAATTTCCTTTATAAGCATGTTGATTTCTACTATGGTTCTATGCCAAGCTAGGGAATGTGGAACACCAAGATACCCTGTTCTGTGTATAAAATGCAAAGTCACTTACTAAGAAACCAAAAACCAAAGATTTCTACTTTCTTCTCTTAATCTCATGAAGATACTCACATGACCTTGCCTTGTGAACTTGTGACTGAATAAAATATTTATAGGCAGTTGTGTCTCCATGAAGCTACCAGTCCTATTTTACTTACTCAGAAAGTAACATTTTGTGCCTAGGAAATACACACAAAATAGATTACTCTTTTGTTTTTGTTTTAAATTTTTAATCCTGGATCTCCAGAAGAATGCTATATACAGAAATATATATAGAAATCCAAGATTCTGGAATAAGCATTCCAATTCTAAGTTATGTAAAGGAATATCTTACCCATCTCAGTGTAAGCAACCATTTAGAAAATGAGGTACTGACCATTTTTCTTCATTCCGTTATTTAAAATCTAAATGTGTGAACGAGGCTGGAGGAAATGCATTTATGAAGTGAGTCAGGAAGATTGGTGGAGTACATTAGAAAGCAGAGCCAGCAATGCCTGCTTTGCCCAGGAGGAAGCTAAGAGTTAACTGTCTTGTCTTCCTGTCCCTGCACAGGAACCCCTGGACCCAGCTGGTACCTAAAGTAGAAAGGAAAAAAGTCATTCACTGTTGTTATTAAAATGAAAGTGTCTTCCTCAAGGGAGTCTGATCCTAAAATAGAGGACTCTGAGCTGCTTGCTCTCATTCTTGCCATCCCTAAAGCCTTGGTTTTTCAGGTTCATTCTGAGTGCGCTCTCCCTCCCTTCTTCCCTCCCTCCCTACCTACCTACCTCCCTCTTCTCCCTCCCTCTTTCTCTCCCCCTCCCCCTCCCTCTTTTCCTCCCTCTCCCCAGTTTAAGTCAGAGCTTTCTCAACCCGACTCCCTGTCAGATCAGTGAGGGACTTTATAAAGATCCTAAGTGGATCCCCGCCCACACATCTTTATTTTAGTAAGTCCCTGAGTGATTCTGATACTACAGAGTCACACTCTCCACTGAGGTCCACAGCCTTGTGGGACCTTAACTTTCTGCAGCTGAGACAAGACAGCTGCTGCTTAGCCTTTGTGTTGGTGAGCTGCTTTAAAAGAGTACCAATTTGGTCAAACTTGCAGGATTTCTTGGCACTCTGGTGCAGCACTATCCCCTCCACTGTCTGTCTGTCCGTCCATCCTTAATGCTAGATGTGCTGCACGGGCTGTGTCTGTTCTCCATGGTGCTTTGCAGCCAGCTGCTCTCTCAAATCTCTGAAGACTTCTCTCTAAACTGTAGTGTTTGGTCTGCTCAGAACATGTTGTCCCTCACCTCAACAACAGTGCTGTCCTCAGGTACAGTAAAAATTAACTTGTCCCATTGAGCAACTTTTTTGTGACAACCTTTGGCCTCTACAGGGTTTCTCAGCCTTGGCACTGCTGACATTTCAGTCAGATGAGTCTTTGTTTAAAGGAGAAGGTAAGGGAAGCTGTCCTGAACATCACAGGACATTTAGCATTGTCCTTAGCCTCTGTCCACTACTCCCCAAAAGTACCTGTACCACACAGTCTTGATAACTCAGAATGTCTCCAGATGAGAATCACTGACCTAGAAGAGGTTGACCCAGGAAGTTCTTCTGACCCCAAGTCTTCTCCGAGCTTCAGTGATTTTCTAGTACCTGTGGTAGTTTTCCCTGGTGTCTCTGTTTGGTGTCTTTCCCCCTGGAACACCCTCCTTCCTTTTATCTGTGTGTTCTTTGACCCTGAGCCTTTCCTGGGTTTCTCCATCTCATGGCTCAGCACTTTTGCCCCTCACTGTCTCCACCTGGTCTTTGAACAGACTAGACAGTTCCACCCCTGGCTAGATGCCACGTGCTAACCAGAGCCTTTATCCTACCCTTGTTGGCCCTCCCTGTTTACCACAGCAGTGTCTCTTTAAACACTTCCCTAAACCCGTTGCTCTCACTCTCAGCCAAGTGAACTTGACAGTAATCAACTTCATAGAGAGAACAGTTGTTGGATTTCCCTGAGCTTTCTATCACCAGGCCTCCAGCATGTCTGCCTCTATGCCCTCCTTGGCACCTCCTAGCATGGAGGAGGCAGCTCAGCCCTGGTGTGGTGCTGCTATTTCTGCCTAGGTCTTTGCCTGCCAGCTCTTTCCCTTTCTAGGGGACCTTGATCTATTGACTGTCTGTTCCCTTGGCTTTGTTCTGTCTGTCTTTGCTCCTCAGCATTTAATCATACTCAAGCCTTTGAGACTCCAGTTTGTTTTAAATCTGTCCCTTACCCATACGACCGTGCAGCTAGCTTTTGGTAGGATCTTTATTTGCTGTCTCTCCTCAGTCGGAAGACAGCCAAATGTCTATGTCTGTCCGTCCTTCATTTTTAACAAGCCTATTCTGAACCAAACCTTTTTCTGTAGTGTCAAACCTCTGGTGAATTGCCTTGTCACATGACCTTCTCTTTTTGTCCTCTGTTGCACTGATTTATTGTGGACAGATGGCAGTTGGCATTGCTTTGGGGGGACCTCCTGCTTGTGTCAGTTGATTACAGTTGATCACCTTTTGGATGTTAGCCATCATGGCTCCAAAACTGAGAAACAGCCGCCTTATTTAAAGGTTAGCCACAAAATTTTAGTGGATAAAAATACTGAGCAGGAGAGTGCCGCAGCATGAAGATGCCAGCCGGAGCTAAAACAGGTCAGGAAGCTGGCTGCTGGCTGACTGGGGAGTTGCTGCAGTCACCTCCACCTCAGAGGGAGATCAGCTTAAACAGCATCTGCCAAGCCTGGCTGGGGAAGGAGTTCTTGTCTCTGACCTTTAATAATCCTGGGTCCTTTCATGTCTGCCAGGTCCTTAACAGGGCACCCAAGGGCTGTGAGTTGTGAAAATGACTCACCTCCAGTGTAGATGCCGCCCTCCCCTCAGCCCCGCTGCTTTTGACCTCTCTCTTTCTGGCCCCCGGAGCAGAAGGGAGGAGGCACTGCATTTCAGTGTTGCAGGCTTTGTCTCTTCCGAGGTCTATGCATTTCCCATTGTGTATCTCACAGCATTTCTTACAGAGGTCAAGGACATGGTGGAAGCTCTGATCATTGCTCTGCTGTCCTCTGCGCATCCCAGTCCACCGCTTAGCCCTTCTCTGCTGCTGTGTGTATTTTTATTACAAGATTGAGGAAGAACTGCTTTCCAAGGTCTGGCCCCTGTGGTGCACTCTCTCTGGCTAATGAGAGGGCACTGTGATGGATGTGCTAGTGCCTAAGGCTTGTTTCAAAAGTGTTGCCATTTATTGGGGTGTTGTGTGGAACTTTGCCTGTTTAGCAAAGCTTTCCTCTCTCGACCCTCAGTGCTTCTCAGAATATTCCAGGTATGGTTTTCATGTGCTTCAGTCAGCACTGTGAGGTAATCCAGCCTGTCTTCTCCACTCTCCCACCCATGGTCCTTCAAGGCAGACAGCTGAGAAGCAGGAATAGTGGTGGGCCAAGGATCCAGATGCTTAGTAGCAAAGCTTAGCCCAGAAACAAGAGGAAGGACATGGTGGGTATGGTGAGCAGTAAGCTGAGGAAGTGATCACAGGAAAATGGAGAAAATAGGTTAAAAAAAAAAGGACAGCTGCAAGCCCGAGCATTTGTTCACAAAGGCGGCCGGGGAGGAGAGTGCAGGATTATTGGAGGCTGGTGGATGTTTGATCCGGAGAAGCTGTGGGAGTTAGAGATAGAAAGTCTGGAGTCAGATGCACAGACGCTGAACTGGCAGAGATCGGAAAAGATCGGCTCTGGGTTGTGGAAAGAGACTTGGAGTAGTTGTGTGGGGTGCGGTGATAGCTGAAAAGAACATGTGTTTTTAAAGAGAAGAATTCTTTGAGGTTCTACGTTAACTAAGGAAGAAGATTCTTACTGGTCTCCAGATAACCAGTTAGTCTTTATTGTCTTCTATAGCCACACATTGTCTAATGTAATAGGACAGGTTTTCTTCTAGGTCACCACATCTATAAGAAAATAAGTACTTAAGAATTCCACCATAAGAAAAATCCACTTACGGCTTATTTAAGGTCAAAGAAACAGGCGAGTTGTAAACCCTTAAACTCAGTGCGTGAAGACTTCACAGCATGACAAAAATGGTATGGTCATGTGGACCTGTTATCCCATTATTTGGGATGTGAGGGCAAGATTAGAGATTGAAGATGCTCCTCAAGTTTGAGGTTGATCTGAAATACATGAGACCATGTCACCAGAGGTGGGGGGTGGGGGTGGGGGGGATTAAGTAAGGGAGGTACACCATTTTGTTCTTTTCTGAGTAGCCAGTAATTTAAGTAATAATAATAGGAAAAGCAAAAACAGTGCCCAGGACAGGCCAGAGCCAAATCCTTATCCATTAAAGATAGCTGCTGCTTACTTACACTAGGGTTTCTACCGTCTGTGGTTAAGATTCAGCTACCACATCACCTTCATACCTCTCACTCCTGAACCAAAGCAGCCCTTTTGGAGATAACATGATCTCTTCTGCTCTGACAGCCAGCCAAATCCCATCGTCCATCCGATGGCCAAAACACCTCAACTGTCCCACTCTGTCCTGGCACCAGCTAAGCCCCCCCAGACATCTATCAACTGCTCCCAGATGTATGCAAATTAGATAGTTGTAGTTTAGAGTCTACAGTTTAGATGAGATTTAAAGGGACCTTTGCATGCCCCACAGAGGTTAAGAAGTATTGTTCTGGGCTGGAGAGATAGCCTAATGTATAAAGGCACTTACCACCAAGTCTGATGACCTGAGTTTAATCCCTGGAATTCACGTGGTTGTAGGAAAGAACTGACTCCTTCAAGTTTTCCTGTGACTACCACATTGTGAGCGTATGCATACATGTACCCACAAATAATAATGTTTTTATAAAGAAACAGCAACAACAGCAGCTCGTTCTGTTCTATGTTCCACTGCAGCCCACCTTGGCACAGTTGAGTGATTCTGAACAGTAGCTGCAGATGACCCTCAGTAAGGGTTGAGTCCTCAGAAGCCCCTCATCCTTCTCTGGAGCACTCTCTTATGTCCTTAGTAAGTAGTGAGAGGCAGACATAATACCTTGTATTCTATAAATATCAGCCTCTCTATGGATTGATAGCTTTCCAGCCTATAAAGCCCCTAAAGAGAGGTACTCAGGAATGAGAATACCCTATCTGAAAGTTTCAAACTAGATTGATAAATCAAGACTTCAAGATCTTGATTCTGGTCTCCAAAGAAATGGGTTATAAGGCCCTCAAGTGGAATAGTATATATTATTGGCTGAAATTGTCAACCCAGTAAAAAGTTTTCTAAATTTTTAAAAGTTTTAAAATTTTTAAAAGTTTTAAATTTGTAAAAGTTTTAAAATCAAAACTTCATTTTCAAATAGTAACCAAAATATTAAATTATAATTTTTGTTTGTTTGTTTTTCGAGACAGAGTTTCTCTGTGTGGTTTTGGTTCCTGTCCTGGATCTCACTCTGTAGACCAGGCTGGCCTCGAACTCACAGAGATCCACCTAGCTCTGCCTCCTGAGTGCTGGGATTAAAGGTGTGCACCACCGCCGCCCGGCTTTAAATATGAATTAACAATCAAGGTTTTAACCAATGACAACCAATGTTGGAGAGGATGTGGAGCAAAGGGAACACTCCTCCACTGTTGGTGGGAATGTAAACTTGTACAACCACTATGGAAATCAGTATGGCGGTTTCTCAGAAAATTAGGAATCGAACTACCTCAAGACCCAGCCATCCCACTCTTGGGCATATACCCAAAGAATGCTGATACATACCATAAAGATACATGCTCAGCTATGTTCATAGCAGCACTATTTGTAATAGCCAGAACCTGGAAACAACCTAGATGCCCATCAACGGAAGAATGGATGAAAAAAATGTGGTACATATACACAATGGAGTACTACTCAGCAGAGAAAAACAATGAAAGCATGAAATTTGCAGGCAAATGGATGGAACTAGAAAAAATCATCCTGAGTGAGGTAACCCAAACCCAGAAAGACAGTTATGGTATGTACTCACTCATTGGTGGATTCTAGATATAAAATGAACAATCAGACCACAACCCATAGAACCATAGAGGCTATATATATAGCATGGAGGTCCCTAGGACGACTGTGGCATATAATAAATTTCAGTTTTACTCAATTATTGAAAAAAAATAGCCAAATGAATGGAAACACATGAACTATGAACCAAAGACTGAGGGGCTCCCAGCTGGATCAGGCCCTCTGAATAGGTGAGACAGTTGATTGGCTTGATCAGTTTGGGAGGCATCTAGGCAGTGGGACCAAGTCCTGTGCTCATTCCATGAGTTGGCTGTTTGAAACCAGGAACTTATGCAGGGACACTTGGCTCAGTCTGGGAGGAAGGGACTGGACCTCCCTGGACTGAGTCTACCAAGTCGATCACAGTCCTCGGGGGAGGACTTGTCCTGGAGGAGGTGGGAATGGAGGGTGGGCTGGGGGTAAGGGGAGGGCGTGGGAGGGGGGAGAATAGGGGAACCCATGGCTGATATGTAGAACTGAATGGTATTGTAAAATAAAAAATATATATCACAAAAAAAAAAAAAATCAAGGTTTTAAAGGTATATGATGGCCCAATTTGGTATCTCTTAAATTGTCTTTTATCCCAAACTCAGATTGCAACATTTCTTCTAAAACTGCCCAGATATCTAGTGATGCCCCTTTGCGTCAGCCCAGCACTCCAGGCTCCCCATGGTGGGTTGCAGCTTCATCAAGTTCCTGTGCAAGGGTGCCAGAGTTGGGCATGACCTTTACCTAGCCTCCAAAGTCTTTCTCCAGACTTCCCATGAGAACAAGTTTCTATTCCAAGAATACAGACCCTCCCTGAGTGAAAGTCAGGAGGATGTGACTTTGTGTTCACATGAGTAGGAGAGGATGTCATTGTCCCCCATCCTCAGCCCTTTAACATTTCAGCCGAGAATCACCAACTGATGATCTCATTATCAGATACAGTTCACCTTCCCAAAACAGTTCTAACTTCCCTGTGACTTGTACCAATATTCAACCTAGGTTGAGTTCCATAAAACTAACACTTATCCAGAGAACTCTTCATTTAACTACGACTTAATATCTATGTGAAATTCCATTTTTCTACATGAGCTACTCTTCTAAAATATAGCTTGTTTATAAAGTCTGGTTATCTTTATTCTTAATACATTTTTCTAGATTTCTTGAAGTCTTTTTTGGAATTCAGTGGCATGAAAAGGCAAGTTGGGCACAGTAGTTTACACTTACAGTCCAGCTACTCTCTCATCACTTGTGAGCTTGTGGCCATCCTGGGTAACACAGCAAGCCCCTGTCACTTACGGCACATGTGAGACAAGTCCAAGCATCTGTATTCCTCTCATTCTCATTGCACAGTGCTGTTACCACATGAGATTAGGTTCAGAATTTCTGTAGGTTGTGCTTTTATATGTCCCACTATTTATCTCTTGGGTGTTGAAAATCCCTAAAGCAGAAAAAAATTTAAAATTCTAATTCTTTCCATTTTGACCTAGGAGTTCTTCAGTATATAATTTATGACCTAATTCTCTGTTGTTTTCTAGGCATGTTTTCCACAAATCATGTGTGGATCCCTGGCTTAGTGAACACTGTACCTGTCCTATGTGCAAACTTAATATTTTGAAAGCCCTAGGAATTGTGGTATGTTCCCTGTTTGTACTACTTTTGTGTAATATCCTGTCCATGTGCATTGTGATACAACTGGCGTAATAGAAGCCATGACCAGCTCTCTTTGGAATACTCCAGCTTTCTCTGCCGTGTAGACCTTGTCTGGGCAGCAGTGCCTTTCCTCAGATGACTTCAGTGTTCTAAACTACCTCGAGGAACATGAAAAGAGAGTGTAAATTACTAGACTAGTCTACTTTAAAAGGGGTGCTTCTGATTGAGGGGACACAAGAGAAAAAGGGTATAGAAAACTGAGGTCTAATAGTGATTTTTCTTATATTTGGCATAATATGAACGATGTCATATTCTGCCCTCTTCAACTTGCCTTCCGTGTCTTTGAGTGTCAGTAACTTGCAAGCAGTGGAAGCAGATGGTAACCACAAAGCCCTTAGAGAACCTGGAGCAACTTGACAGCTGGGTTCGCCAAGTGTGCTGCACTGAGGTCAGCTGTGACGGTGCTAGCCCAGTACAGTGAGAATGTTGAAGACTTCCTTGCATTCCTTGCTTAAGAAAGATGCATAGGGTTGGAGAGCTAGCTCAGCGTTAATGGTAAGGCTCACTGCTAAAATGTCAACAAAAGCATATATTCAGGGTATGCTTTTAATAGAAAGAAAAAAATGAAGTCACCATTGCTGACTGTCCTCTGGGGGCCAAGTTATCCTCCATGTAAGACTATTTTAATAAATGACAGAGACTACCTCACATGGCCGGCATGTGGAAATAGTAACTTGTCCTCTGTCAATGGTTAATGGAGCCTTCTGGAATAAATGTTAGCTGTCATGCTTCTTTGGATGTGACATTACTATAAACATCAGCTCTTACACTGCACTTTTAATTTTGTTTTTAGTAGAACTTTGAGAGGCTCTAAAAGAGAATTCTTTTGCCCTGGAAGCAGTAGGCTCTGGGTCTTGGCTGTCCCTTTTGTCAGCCATTTTTCTGAGCTCTGTCTTCATATTCTGTCTTCTGCAGACAGAATGAGCTGCATCTTAATCTGCTGTGAGTGTTCACACCCACCTCGACATGGGTAGACTTCTGGCTATAGCTGGAGGCTTAGGCTTTGAAGCAGATTATTTTCTTATCATTTACAAGCCTGAGCTTTGATCTGCTCTTGCTTGTGTGCTTTGTTTTTAAAGGTAGATGTTTTCTTTACTGGATTCCAAGTAAATGGAGCATTCAGAGAAGTTACAGTATAAGCAAGGTATTTTGTTACCTGCTGCCCTTAATAATAATAATATTTAATATTAAGATAATGAGGTAAATTTTCAGTCTGAAAGTACCAGCTTTATAAATGGTATTAGCCTCCCTCTGCCTGTGACTGAGGCCGCAAGTGGTTATCATTTCTTTGCCTCACTACAGTGGACAGTTTTGAGCTATGAATTTTGGTTTTCCTTTGTACCATTTTTAGAAGAAAATCTGCTTATTCTTTGAAGGAAGCTTCTTAAATGACAGTAGGAAAGATAGATGGGCAGGTAAATGAGAAGTAATTATGTGGAAAAAAGCATGGTGAAGTTCTTAGAGTTGGTGTTAAACATTCGGGATTTTATAAACTTGTTCTTGTAATGATTTTTTAACCTGGAAATATTTTTCAGCCAAATCTGCCATGTACTGATAATGTAGCATTTGATATGGAAAGGCTCACCAGAACCCAAGCAGTTAACCGAAGATCAGCCCTCGGTGACCTTGCCAGCGACAGTTCCCTTGGCCTTGAGCCACTGCGAACTTCGGGCATATCGCCTCTTCCTCAAGATGGGGAGCTCACTCCTAGGACGGGTGAAATCAACATTGCAGTAACAAGTAAGTGGGGACCCTGCGCCCAGGCACCGGCAGCTCTGCTGCCTGTGTGGGCAGGTGGTGACCGTCACGGAGAAAGCTGAGGTCACGGGGTCCAGCAGTGTCACAAAGGAAAAGAGAAACGACCCATTCAAACAGATGTTTAGAATTACAGACTTTCCTTACATAAGGAATGTGCATGCTGGTGACAGTGTGGTTAGTTGTTTAAAAGTTTGTCTTACTGGCTGTCCAGTAAGCCTTGTTTTGAAGTCATTGCGTTGCAAATAGACACTTTAAAGGGAGACACTGGAGTGCGTTGGGGGCTGGCAGGCGCGGTGCTGGTATGCTGTGTGCCGAGCACTGCTGCCCATGATCTCCCATGCTATAAGCAACTTGGTGAAAAACTAACGGAGAATTTGAACCTAAAAATAATCTGGGCCAGTTATGAAATGTCTTGATTGTTGAACTGTTAATAAGCAAAAATGTACTGTTGTGAGGGCAGTGGCCGTCTGTCTTCAGTGTGAATGGGTTGGTGGTGTGTGTATGGGTGTTGTAGGCAAGGCATTCATCCTGTAACAAGCAAATCCTCTTCTCCGTTTTCATTCTTTACATGCAGTCTCCATCTAACCACCTCCCACCCATCTCTCGTCGCCACTCTGGTGCTGCCTTTTCTAATAATGCTGCTGCTTACCCAGGACTTCAAGCCTAGCCTTGAGGAGGCTCCACCTACCTCTGAGAGTCAGTAACACGCATGGGGGAAGCAGTTTATGGAAGAACTTGCTCTTTACATGTTAAGGCTTTTGTGATCTGTTTTGTTGAAATGCATGGTTTTGAACCATCCAGAGGTTGCCATTTGTCTGAAGGCCAAGGGCTTTCATTCTGATAAGTACAACTATTCTTTGATATAGTGTGGCTCTTTTTTTTTTAACCATTTCCCAGTGCTTGTTTTAGCAGCATTTCATGGTTTCCTACTTTGGCATTTAGATTTTATGGTCTAGAGTTTCAAAACTTGGTCTAGCAGTACGAAAGGAGATAAAGGTGATTTAAGATTGCGGTTTTTTTTAGAAGCCCTTCATTGATTAGGCATTTATTGAGCACCTACTACATTAAGCACACACCTTGTCATTTTTATGTGGAAATGTCTTCAAAATCTTGATAATAAAATCTTTTGATGATAAAAATATACCAAATAAAACACCTTTATCAGAATTTACACAGAATGCCAGTAAAGAAAATTCATGTGATTATCTAGACCCAAAGTACCTCTTTTCCTCCAAATACCTGTATTACCTTAAGCAAGAACAGTCCCACTGTGTGTAGGACACTGTGCTGATCAGCAGTGGGACTGCAGAAGGGTAACTCGGCAGCAGCAGATTGCTGCGGAAGTACTCTTGGATCTGCCAGGCGGTGCTGTGATGGTGTGTCTCACTACAAAGACACAGACAGGTATATGTGTTCAGAATTCAGAAATACAGATGGAACTGAAGTCTCTAACTGTTAGTCTCTGAGCAAAGAGTTATGAGAAGGTGGGCTTGGCGGCAGCTCAGTGCTAGCACACAGTGGCACATGCCTATAATCCTAGCATTCCGAGCACTTAGGAAGTTGAACCAAAAGAATTAGAAGTTCAAGACCAGCCTCAGCTACAGCCAAAAAGAAAAGAAAAAAAATGAGTATTATGTTGCTCTTCTTGCTGTTGATAACAATTCATCTCTTGAATTTTAAAAATACTAGTATACATATTCCCAACTAAAAACATGCGTAGGTTAAAACAGAGGGTTTCACGTGGATTCTTAAGTATCCATTTTGACTTAAATAAAAAACTTCAGTCGGCCAGGCGGTGGTGGCGCACACCTTTAATCCCAGCACTCGGGAGGCAGAGGCAGGCGGATCTCTGTGAGTTCGAGGCCAGCCTGGTCTACAGAGTGAGATCCAGGACAGGCACCAAAACTACACAGAGAAACCCTGTCTCGAAACAACAACAACAACAACAACAAAAGCTTCCATCTGATGCCGAGGAAATCTGTAATCCAGGAGCAGCGGCTGCAGTGTCACATGGAAAGAGTTCACTAAGTGTTTTAATCATAAAGCAACCAGACAGCTGAGATTTAGTCCATAGAACAGAGTCGGCATCCTGGAACCCAGAGAGCAAGTTCTCTTAGCCTCTTCTAGAAACAAAACCTGCTCACGCACAATTTGTGCAGTTTTAGGGTTCATGAAACCCAGACTAAGAAATACCCAAAGTAGAGTTGTTAGGAGCACTTGATACTCTTCTAAGGACCCAAGTTTGGTTTCCTGCACCCACATGGGGTGCCTCACAACCACTTGTAACTCCAGCCCCAAGGGATCCCACATTGTCTGGCCTCCATGGGCACAGGTGCTCACATATACACACACATGTACACATAATTAAAAATAAAAAATTTTAAAGAAATATGTTACATATATAAAGTCACATGAAAGCCATTATTTTGTATACTAACTAAAAAATGTTAAAATGAAGAAACGTTCCTGTTAGGCACAGTTTTGCACGTGAACATTTGCCATGCCTTGTTACAGATGTAGAGGGATTTTATAGAATTACTTTGTTAAACCATCCTGATTAAGCTTACCCTTGGCAAAATTTTATAGTTACGACTTTGGAGCAAGTCGGATTGGTTTTCAGGCCCCAGTTTAGTCTCCCTCTGTCCCGTGTATGCATGACTTTGATGTTCACTTCTACACACCTGTCAGTCATGCCCCTCCTACCTTCCTACAGACTGAAGGACCAGTTTGACTTCCCAGCAGGAGTCGTGAACCTGTTTTCTTGGCACAACTGTAATGTGTCTTTTTAGTACGAATACTCTCAGGAAACTGATAGACGAGAGAACATGCAAACATGAGTGATGTGGAACAGCTTTCTGCTTAGCATACCCAAACGACTTTTGAGAACCCCACTCTGTGGTCCTAACCCTTATCTAAGATTGAGTATTAGAATCATGCAGAAATGGCAAAAAGGAAATCATAAAAATGATTATAAATATGGTTGTTCTACTGTCATGTAAATTCACAGTAATATCTGTCCATGTACAGTTCTACATAATTTTCCTGGGCCTTTTGGTGGTCACACTTCTCGTGTACTTCTGGATCTAAACTGAAAGAAATGGTTGAGCCATGCTTTCCTTTCTCCTTGCAGCTTTTCCCAGTACTTCCACTAACCTTCTCTAGTTAGTAGCTTTCTGGCAAACTTCCTCCTGCTTGACTTCCTTGAGCCAGCCTTGGCTTACACCTCCGTTGACGTCTGCTTCGTTGCATTTGAGGGAAGTGTTGACATCGATTTGACTTAAATCTTCTCCCCAGAGTGATTTCCTCCCTTTCCTTTGTCAACAGAAGAATGGTTTATTATTGCCAGTTTTGGCCTCCTCAGTGCTCTCACACTCTGCTACATGATCATCAGAGCCACAGCTAGCTTGAATGCTAATGAGTAAGTAACAAATTGTTTTTTGGATTGCATGTGCCAGATGATCCCAAGAAAACAAGTAATTTTCATGAAGGTGGTGAGACTTGGCTTCACACCTGTTTCATGCTGATCCCAATGGGATCATAGTTAGCAAAATAATTTATTTCATGAGCCATCTATTTTTAGTCACACAGACTGGGAATTCATTTTGTTCATTAAGACCAGCATACATGAGCAAAGCTCCTGAGGCTCTCTTGAGTACAAGCTGGATCCACAGCATCATGCAGATGCCAGGACACCAGAACAGTCTTAGTATGTGAAGAATGTCCATGACCTCACCATTGGCAGGAATAGCCCCACTCTGTGTGTGCTCCTAGGATTTTACCAGGAGCTTTAGTCAGCTTTTGGGAGAACACTAAGACCTTTGCCTGTGGTCAAGGACAGGAAAGAAGTAGGAAGGAAATCCACTGCTCTCAGAAGACTGTTGGGAGGTAGAGATGTCAGAATAGACTGTCTCTCCAGGGGCAGAAAGAGGCCATGCAGGTTACAGAAAGGCAGAGTTGGCCTCCATAAGGAAAAACAGCAGTCAGGCTTCTTAATGGTGAGATGGTCTTGCCACAGGGAATGCGCAGAGCTAGGAGTGCCAGCAGAAGCTGCATGTTGCTGTGAGGGCTACTGTAGGGTAGACATCCTGATCCTTTTAGTACAGTGATTTTCCAGAAGCAGGATTCCACAGTAATATGATAATGGAAGGGTTTGTTTTCCATTGTTTTCAATGTTATTGGCTATTCAGTCCTTTCTTTTACCTGAGTATTCATACTACTTAGAGATTAGCATAACCCTGGGCCAATGCCCAAATTTGAGCCTACATTGCTACTGATGCACATCATGTGCTCTCCACATTGGAGTATGGCCTAGCATTTTAAGTTGTCAACAGTAAACACTCTCCTGAAAATTTTCATTATTGTTCAGCTGTGGAAACACAAAACTTTTACTTCCCCTGTCATATTGCCTCTCACCTGATCTGTTGACAAATACTTGCAGGAAATATCTTCTGGCATCCATGACCTTGTACATACTGAGAGGCTACTGTGGTACATTGGTGTTCTTCACTCTATATGAATAGTCTTCACCTGTCCATTAGGTCAGTCAGCAGCTAGCTACGTCTGTGGACACTGTTAGATGCACTTTTCCATCAGAACACAGTATCAGTCGCTCAGATTCTAGAGGCAGTCACACCTAGATTTGACTCTCACTCAACTCCTCCGTTTTCCAATTGTGAGACTTAGGCATTTACATTTATCTGAAGATTATTTTAATCATCAAAATAAGCAGATAATGATTAGTCTACGTCGTAGGGCTATGGACTTAGTACGGTGCCTAGTATAAGTGCTCAATAAATGTTAGTCAAACTAATTCTGCCGAGATTCTGCTACAGTCTGTAAATAAGATGGCCATCTGGGGCCAGGAGGTGCCTCAGCAGGGGAGACACTTGCTGCCAAGCCTGATGGCCTAAGTTCAATCCAGCTTCACAAATTGTCCTCTGACCTACACACATACACACCATGGCCCATGTACATATGCACAC